AGAAAAAGCAATGAACGTTTCCGCAATTATTAATCTGCAGTCGGCACGATGAAACCGGCACCGGTGACATAAATTTAGCCACGGCAGACGCAGCCCTAGCCCTGGTGACTCTGGGGAGAGCGAACAGCAGCCCATCAATTTAATTTCATTTTGGAATTACAGCCTTAACGACCGCTTACACAACAATAACACACAAGCCTTGTTTTGAAACGTCTGTTCCTAAATATGCATTTCAGCACCTGCACAGCTGCTGTGTAAGCTGCTCCAACCGTTACTGTCAAGACGAGTTGCAGACGCTGCACCCGCCCCGCCGCGTTTGAGGAGTTCGCTCCGTTCAATCAGACAGACCTTAACCTCACAGTATTCTCATCACCGCCTCCTTGTCAGTAACACAAGGGCCCATACTCCTTAACGAGAATATTTGGCAGTTCACCAGCATTGATACAAGCAAGGTCTGACGTGTGTAAAAACTGGTCCACAGATTGCTTGTTTTGAACCAATGCCGATGAAACTATGCACTACTAGGAGGCCATGGGGCTGATGGCTGCGTGCAAAAAAAAGTTAGATATATTGTGGGGAGACGTATCTTCTGCGTATCTATTTTATACCGTACATATAATGCAATTTACGTAATTTATGTATTCAGGAAGTCCCCCGGGGTCTCAAGACTGTCTCACGTGGGTCCTGCAGAGGGATGTTTGCCTCATTATTTGTTAAGGATTGTTTTGCTTCATGTGCGAGGAAACCGGCCATACCCAGGGTATGCAGGTGGAGTATACTCAAAATATCCACACAGCTTGATTCACAAATCCATTTTCTGTACTACAATTTCTTGGCCATCTCCCAGCCCAATGGCGTTTGGGAGTCACAAATCTCAGAATCTTTTAGAATCAGAATCTTTGTTTAGACTGGAGGAGGAATCTGATGAGCTATGAAGCTCTTTTTCACACATGTCCAGTAGGGGTGAGTCAGAAAGTTACAACAAACAAACAATACAAACACCGATAGGAGTGCAAAGTATAGGAAAGGTAAGCAAGTCACTAATTTTGTTTTAATATAGAGTCTCTGCGTGGTCCAGCAACGCTTGCCTTCAAAGCCCTGACAATAAAATATTACAAGCAGATTCAGCCAAAAATAACGTACGATTTACTAAATTAATGTGTTACTACAATTAATAAAAGGTAAAAACATATTTTATAAAAATAAGCTGAATACTTGCGCTCCAATGGACTTGTGAAAATGAGCCAAAATTGGACTTCCTCATTATATTTAGTACTAGAATTTCAAATTAACCGGCGCTATTTTTAAGCATGTGGTGGGCACACAGTGATAAAAACTACTGCAGTCATTCTTGTCAAAAGTCGGGGACGCAGGGGAGAAGTCTAAACAGAGACGAGGAAGTCACACATACGCAACACATCTACTCCAATGTATACAGCATCTAAATGCAAGAGGTTTTCTACACAACACGTGGAGATAATGGGAAGGTCTAAAGAGGCACATGGAGGTCACGGAAGGGGCAAGGTAAGGTGTGCTCAGACCACAGGGAGATCGCAGGATACATACTGAGGTTTCAACACAACACACCGAGGTTACAAGAGGCACTTGGAGGCACCGGCATGACGCACGATAGTCCACATAATGCGCTTGGAGGTCACGGAGAGAGCATCAAGAAGGTCGTGGGGGGGTGGGTGGCGAGGGGTGGGGGTCACGTACCGTCCGTGCGCGACGAAGTCGAGGTGGAGCTCTGTGTCAGGGTGGGAGGTGGCACGACGCACGCGCTGGTGCCGCTGGTGCAGCCCGTCCCTGTCGTATGAGAGGCCTTCGTAGTGCCGGATGAACGAACCCAACGGGTTTCCGTACCAGCCTGGAGCGAGCGCGCACGGCCACCGACAACACGGTCAGAGTTTTTTTTTCAAACAATCTGCGACACAGCCATCTCTCACGGTCTACGATGCAACAATTCATCCAACACGTGCTCACAAGCTCATTGCATAGAGAGGACATTCGCTCTGCTGGACATTCACTCTATCAGGATATCCTGCAGTGAATGTCCTAAAAACCAGTTAATGTGGTGGACATGTTCACTCTCAACCTATTTGTCACTGTGTCATGAGGCTCCCTTCAAGTGACTTGTCCTGCCCAGGCCCACTTAGTTTTCTTAACAGTCAAGATGATCTTTACACGGAGGGTTTCCCAACGCAGCAACATTTTTATAAATGTCACCATTTTGTTTGGCTTTTAATATTCTGATTTTGCTAATGAACCCACTCGATTAGCATATTTACCCACGTGACTACTTTATTTGATTGGTTCTGCCAGGTGTTGGACAGTTATAGTTCGAATTTGGCATCGTATCTACACAACGCTAGACCCCCAAAGAAATCGATGCGATTAACAATCAGTCAGAATAATGTCTCGAACTTGCGTACACAAATGAAATAATTTCAAGGCGTGGAATGAATGGTACTCTGAATGCTTCAATTACGCAGCAGGATTAGCACCGTTCACATTTACTAATCCTCGTGACACGGCTAACAATTAATCTCTGGCTCATGACCAATCCTACGAACACACCTCTCAAAGTGGCATCTACGGAACGTAAGACTTGCTGACAACACGCGGTGTTATGGCACGAAACGTGTGAGTCACACTCGAACAGCGCCAGGAGGTCTCATCAGCTATCTCTGGCCAGGAGGTCTAATCAGCTATCTCTGGATTTCAAGTTCAGGGTGCTAACTATTACACCACACTGGCATCCGCTTGTCTGTGGAAACCCTCTAATTGATACTGTGCTTAAGCTGTCTTAATCCCTGCTTCCGCTTTCCATGCCAAGTGATAGGTCCTAAAAAGTAATCAATTACATTTAAATAATTCCGAGTGATTGATGTTAACAGGCTATTGCTTTTACTCCAATGTTACTTAAAACCTGTGCTTATGTGTGATTATATATTCTCTTGGCAGTGGTGTTTGAGACCACATGCTGCTATGGCAATAAACTGCAAACGACTTATCAAACCTTGCTGGATCACGCGGTTGAAATGTCATAAGCAAAGAAATTAAAAAGATACATCAGTTCTTTTCCCGGGCCAGCTGGCTCAGCATTAGAGCGGGCGGCTCGCAATCAGATGACTGCGAGTTCAAATCTTGATTGGGGATCGACTGAGCCCATCACTTCTCCTTGGTCAATAAATTGAGTATCACATTGTGGGGGAAGTCAATAGTGATTATCATATGCATAGACTTGCTCCTGTCAAAGGAATATGGAATTTCCACTGTTGGCCCAGGGCTGCTAATATCAGATTAGCAATGCCTCAATGCACATTTGAATGGGAAATCGCTGACTTTTTAAAATTATATTTTGACGTATATTTGAAGTTTTCGTGACTGCAAGGACCCATCTCTTTGGTTTTGTCGGTAAAGTCACGTAGATAAAAAAAATAGAAATAAAATTTTCTGGAGCAGTCAACACCTGATGACGGTTGCTTGGTTGCTTCCAAAACGTCGTGATTTAATTTATTTGTTTTCAGTTTATTTTATTTTATATTTGTTTACCTACGTAACTTCACCGAAAAAAACCAAAGAAGATATTTTGAACATCCTGCATATAAATATGTTGTGTAACAGAAAGAATTTCGGGTAAACTAACACTGCCCGTTATTCTCATTTTCTCACCCAATACAACGGGAAACATACACCTATCCGTTGGTACCTGTGCAACATCAAGCAGTTAAAGCAAAAAATCCTCAAGTGCAACATCGGCACAATTTCCCTCAGTTTCACCACACCGCTAACCACCTTCCCCGATGTCTAAGGACAGAGATCCCCCACGACGATGAACAATATGAGGGAGTCAGTCTAAAGCAGCTGGCAATAGGAGAGGGCCTAACACAGTCCAATCAAGAGCCTGTTTCATCTCGTCCGCCAGTAGACCAATGTACCAACCCCTCGTTGAGCAGTAATTGCACTTTGTGTTACCGGTTAGTTTCATAGATGTTCACAAATCCAATCTTTCACGCACAGCAATGTGTACTTATATAGCGTACACTTGCTTGCTTCGAAAGCACAATAAAGCATTTCCGTGCTAAAGGCATTTTTCCGCTTTTTTTTTGTCCTGGGACCTAATTGTGCATGACGGTGTAACTGGCAATTTTTAAAGGACGCTCACACAAACCAACCTCCTTGCACATCCACCGACACCTCAGCCCCCAGCATGTCGGACATGTGCCGTTGTAAATGTGACTTTTTATAACAAACTTGACATTGGATATTTATTCAATTTAAACGGAGATTCAGGCTTCCCACGCATAGAATGTCGCTGCCCGTTTACTGTTTCCTATCAATAAATATGATTCAATTTACGCGGGGCTTGGTCACGTATGAATTCTCAGATGTGCAACACCGAGTTCAACTACACTAGATTAGTGGCAGAGAATGGAGGAATGTCAGAAATGGTGTCCTTTTTACACGCTTTTATTTAACTCACTCTGTTGTTGTTGTCGTATCCTCAAATCTTGTAACTCAATTTTAACCCACTTCCCAATGTGGCATCGACTGCAAACTTGGTATACTTATGTCATACTGTAGCTCACCGACGTGTTTTTGGGTTGTACAGCGCATTGTTGAGCATGATGATGACGACCCAGTGTTTCACTTCCATGTCCTGGGAGTTTCTTCATCAGACAGTGCAACAACAAAAACCTACGTAGTTGTAATTTAACCTGTTGGCCTCGAGGACTACTTGTGTTGAATCATTATTGCTGATAAGATGTACTCCCTGAAGGCCATGCTACTTAATGGAATAAAAAAAAAATCTTTAAATTATCATGTGGACACAGAAATATTATTTTTTGTACTTAACATCCTTCGCAACAACACAATGGTTACTTTGTGTTTTGTATTATTTAGTTTTACATCGACTCAGGACCCATTTCTTACAAAAAGGATCCTTGCCTATAAACATCTGGCAGTTCAGCAGAATTGGATCAAGAAAGCCTGACTGCTGATGAAGAGACATTGAATGTCAAATCCAGTCCAGCGTTTGCTTGTGTTGAAAGGATGGTGCTGATAAGATTCACTCCCAGTTCCCAGAAGGCTGCTCAGCAGATGGGTTGTGTAAAGAATAAACTCGGTTTTTTTTGTTGTGAGGGTGAGACGTTTATAGGAAGGAGGTCTTCATTGTTTCGTTCCGTGAGCACTCTTCAGTTAGTCCTAGCGGTGTCGGTTTCACTTTCCTATTTGTCCAATCCTGCTCGCACAAAAACACCAAGCTGCAGCTTTCCCAGATAGTTGCCCCCCCCCCCCCCCCCCCGTTATGGTGTCGGAAGTCTGTTTCTGTAGATAACTGATAAATAAGTAATATTTAAAAATACTTTTTTTTAAAATAGGCATTAATGAAATGTACCATACGAGTCATGGCAGAACTCCACGACTCCAGGAAGTGGCCCCGAGGCTTGCCATAACGTAAGAGGCCGTGGTGATTTACAGCCAACGTTAGTTGAGCGTGGACAATTAGACCCAAGGCGAAACATAACATATAAAAAAGATTGTTAACAAATATATATTTTTTAATGATAGAATATAGTATTGTCATCAGTATGACATAAGTTATACCAAGTTTGCAGTCGATACCATATTGGGAAGTGGGTTAAATTGAGTTACAAGATTTCAGGATATGCCAACAAGACAGAGTGAGTTCATAGAAAGCGTGTAAAAAGATTGTTTAAATTTTTTTATGATAGAATATGGTATTGTCATCAGTAAGCCATAAGTATACGAAGTTTGCAGTCGATACCACATTGGGAAGCGGGTTAAAATTGAGTTACAAGATTTGAGGATACGACAACAACGACAACAACAGATAAAGTGAGTTAAATAAAAGCGTGTAATAAAAAAATGGCGAATAAGCATGCAGCAGAGCGTAAAGAATAAAAAACCCACATACACACACAACAAAGCCCAAGCTATTAAGTGACACACCTACACTTACAAACATCGACAAACAAATCCCATTGCTCTCTGCTACCAAACTTCCCCGTGTATTGCTTGGCTGTTCTCGCGCAGTAATGGACACCGCTGCCCCGCAGTCAATTCAAACAAAAGCAAAATGGGCTAAAAAATAAAGGAACCAAAAACGCTTCACGCGAAACACAATAACCTGAGGCCCGCACTGTATTCCTGTCCCTCCGAGCTCATTGCTTTTCCTGTCAGCTGCATTTTCATTGTTTAAATCTACAGGGTTCAAGTCATGGAAGCACTGGTCGCCCGTGCTGGTGAGATTCAGATATAAAAATCATTTCTATAATTTCTAAACAAATTATAAAAAGGCACCACCAAAAACAAATGCTCAAGTGCAGTGCCAGCATCACTTTCTGCAGTCATGGCTTTGGTTGCCCATTCAAGACTCACTCATGGGGGTGAAGAGAGGAAAATTGTGTTTGACGGTGTCACCTGCCTCCAACCGCAAAGCCACAATTGGGCCACCCTGCTGGCAGATGCTGCAACGTTTCACAAATGCCACAACCAATCAGAACCGTTGTTCTAAAGGCGATCTTTTTAGCCTATGCCCTCATAATAAACAGGTGTGACCTCCACATTGACCTCCGATTTAGAGGCAGCTTATCGAGTTGGCTGCGGATGCCCTTGGGGTCAATTTTCTACGATAGTGAGCCAAGCATGTCTGTGTGTCCCGCGCGTGACGTCACTCCACGTCGGCCAGCCTCCTTCATTAATACTCATGAAAAGGTGACGTCCTCCACATGGACCCCCCCCCCCTCATTAATAATCATGAGCAGGTGACGTCACTCCACATAGAACAGCCCCCCACATTAATAATAATGAAGAGGTGACGTCTTCCAAATGGACACCCCTCCCATTAATATTAATTAGCGGGTGACGTCACTCCACATGGGGGGGGGGGTGAGGCGACTCCTCCCCCCTTCAGCGTCAACTTACAACCCTCACTATAAAGGCAGAACCCTCACGTCATCACGTGATCTCCGTAACGCTATTGAGACATACAAGTAAAAAGGACGTCATGATGAACAAGAGATTATAACCTTTAAATGAGATAAGTCTGTGTCACCACGCCTTTACAAACTGCACAAAAATTGATGCAATGAATATCACGTCGCGGTCTGCTTTTTGCTTGCAAGTTTCAGATTTACTGAAATACACACGTCGTTGAACGGGCAAAAGGCTAGTGTTAGGACAATCGTGTACAGTGCTGTTGATGCTACCAGGCCTCAGCACCACCTCCTTCCATCTGTCAGATGCCGTGGCTAGTCACAATCCAAGGTCCGCTTTTACAGTCTCAGACCATGAATGAAGTTAACACTCAAAGCAGATACAGGTGCTTGTTGAGCAGTGGATTGACCAAGGTCTGTTCATGTGCACACGTGCCACTCATGATCCCTAATTAAGGCCAAACTGAACTTGGAGGAGTGGCAACGACTGCAGTAGCAGCAGCAGTTGGATTAAAAGTTCAAGAAGTGGTGGCCGAGGTGTGCGGTTTATTGATGGAAATGGCTTTAATCTTCTTGCTTAAAAAATTGTGAATAGCAATAAAAGATCCATATACAGGTTTTAAAACCACAAAATGGGTGCAGGTGAGGCTGAATTAATTGATGCTCTGTCTGCTGAATTCGTGAAGGTGACAGTGACTCACAATGTGCCCTAATGTTTGGTCAGAGTCGCTGCAGTCCCATTTTGGGCATCCCTTGATTCCACTTGTGAAGGTGGTGAGCCTAACTGGGTTGTGAGAATGCGATTGAGTCAAATGCTCCATTGTTTTGGAGGAAGGTTGGCAACAGGAGGTTCAGTAGTGGGATCCAATCTTAGATATTTGTTCGGGACATTGCTTTTAGTCTAGACTTATCTCCAATGTTTAGTGTCAACTCCTGAGCTGATGAGCCCCCCAGCCGTTTGCTAGAATGGCTTGTGAGACAGATGTTTAGCTTGCGGTATGTTTACGAGGTCTTGGTGTATGGGTAGATGTGCGCTGCCTCTAGCAGGGTTGTATTCCTGCAGACATTGGATGAGCCTGCGGGTTGCAGGTGGAGGAATATTTGACAGCACCGATGGCCAAGGTAGAGGAGCAGAGATCAATGTGCCAGTGGCTATGATGAACTCTTCACACATAACCTTGCTATTCAAATTACTGTAAACACATGGACCTGATAGCCAGGCGAGAGCCCGGTGAGAAAAGCCTCTTTTGGAAAGAAAACCTGGGATAAAAATATTCTACATATATTGCACAAAATGTCAGTGCAGAGGATGACACAACATATTCACAAAAAGCATCGCGAAAAACAAATCAATGTTTATAAACATAATATAAATAAAGTATAGTAAAAATAATCATGTAGGGTCCTTGGTTAATCCACTGCCGGATAAAGACTTACCCATCAGTCGTGGGGGTTATTTGACCATGCTTCCCCCGTGCTGGTTAAAGCTGGTCAGTGGAGGGAGGGGAGGCCCATGACCGGTTCAGTTATTAGTCGCCACTATGTTAGCCATGGTGGGCAATCAAACTCAGTTCGACAGGTTTATGTAGCCCATTTCTACACGCCATGAATGCAACCCTATAAATACTGGACAGTGGTTGGTCCAGGATGTGGGAAGGTGGTTTAAAATGGGAAGGGGATTCCAAAAGCTGACTGCACACCAGTATAATTTTCAGGCAGGCCATGGATTTTGAGTATATATTAGACGAATAGTGCACTCAATCAATTCTTAGACTGAATATTGTAGTGGATTGACGGCGACAAATGGTATTGATGGAGTCACCAAGCCCGGCCCATCACCTCCCATCCGGCAGCACACGTGGGAATAAAGGTGATACTTATGTTCTTCCAGCTATTGTCATGTTATCCGATTGGTCGATTAATCAAACCGATCATCGGTAATGTTACGGCGATTGTCGGATCAGCATGCCATGGGCTAAGTTGTACTGCAATTACAATTAAAGTAGCATTGTTTGCTGAGATTGCAATAACATTGTGACTGCAATTTATTACGAATTACACACTTTAAAATTGATTCCAGCTCTGATCGAGACTCGGGAAGACTTGCTTGAATAATGCTCATTATCATCATTAGCCATAGTAAATCCAATGCTGGCAGGAAAAACTCCCCAAGCCATCCCCATCTCTCACGATACTGCGATATAATAATTCACCTAGTACCAGCACACGAGCCAATTTCACCATTCCATCTCTTTGGTGGACGTGTTCTTGAGAAAGGTTCCATTCCTTGGCTATCACTCAATCACTATTGACGATTGGCCATCAATAACAATGGTATCATCCCACAATCCTGATACTGACCTCCACACAAACAAGCCTGTCAACATTGGTGACACATACACAACAGTACTATACACAAACAGTAGACAGTGTCTAATGGGATAGATAAAGTCACGGAACACGAGCGCACACGCTGTAACAGGTACACTGACGACGCTTAAGCGATCATGAAAAGATTTGTCTGGAATTTTAGGCAAAATGTGACCTATACCATAGGATGCACAGATAGGATATTCAGTTTCATTCTGTCCACGTCGTTGTCCAAGTACTCGTGTCCATGTGGCCATGCCCGTGTGATTTCTATGCACCTACTCTTGACATTTGTGTTTATGTGTTCCCGTAACGTGTCGCTTGTCCCTGTTTCCATGTATCTGTGTCCCCCTGTCCCTCTGTACCCGTGTCCTTCTACTTTAGCCCGTATACCTGTCCATGGATGTTACCTCCGTGTCCATATAGTGTATTCATTAAAACCCTATACAATATAGAAATACGCCTGTGTGTTCAGATGTCCCTTTATGTGTAAACATGCGTGTCCATGTGTTCCATGTGTACCAATGTCCATGTATGTTTGAGCTATATCCCCGTGTCCCCATATCCACGTTCGTCCATGTATATCCACGTTTGTCCATGTATATCCACATGTCCCCATGTATGTCCCCGTATCCCCGTGTCCCCATGTATGCACATGGTCCCTGTGTTGTGCTGCCAGCACGGACCAGAGGCAGCAGCATGTCCTCGCATCCTCGTGTTCATGTCTAAGTGCCAATGTGTCCCCAAGTGTCCCATGATGATGACGATGTCTCCGTGTCAACGTGTCCATATGTCTGTGTCATCATGTCCATGTGCTCGTGTCCATGTGTCTGCATCCTCCTGTCAATTTGTCCCAGTGAACATGTGTGTGTCTCTGTCTTCCTGTGCCGTGCCGGCCTTCATAGGTGCTCGCTAACAACACTTGTCTCAAAAGTCTGTTAAGGCCATACCCAGGGGTGGGGGGGGGGGGTGGATGTTTGTCATTGTCACAGTGTCCATGTCCCCTTTGTCCCCTTGCCCGTGTCTGCTTCGTCTGTCCGTGTACTCTCTCACCGTGCACGACGGGCGTGAGCACGGCCACACACACGAGGATGAAGGAGGCGGCACGGAGAGCCGAGCCCAGGCGGGACATGGTGATTCCGCTTCTGCTGTTGTTGTTGTTGCTGCTGCTGCTGCTGTTGTTGTTGATCTCTCGTCTCCGTGTTAGTCTCTCTACCTGTGGTCCGGCACGGTGTTCGTGCGTTTCCCCCGCCTCCTCGTTGTGGCTGTCAAGAAGAGGGGGCGGCCGTGCCTCCTCGCTCGGGCTGCGCACACGACGGAGACGAAGAGAAGGAGGAGGGCGGTGGACGCGGAGACTCGTGCACAATGCGAGCACGGCGAGACGCGGGGGCGGTGGGGGTGGGGGTGGTGGGGGCAGGGGGGGCGGGGCGGGGGGGGTTGGGGGGTGGGGGCAGGGGGGTTGGGGGGCGGGGCGGGGGGAGTGGGGGGGCGGGGCGGGGGGGGTAATCGCGGAAGTGCGGGGCGCGCGCGCGCACGCCGATTCACTCGCTGCTGCTGTGAACACCGCCACACTGCAGCTTATAGGTATACTGTACTGTGTACACTACAGTCTATATACTGTACTGTGTACACTACAGTCAATATATACTGTACTGTGTACACTACAGTATACATATATACTGTACTGTGTACACTACAGTATATATGTATACTGTAGTGTGTACACTACAGTATACATATATACTGTACTGTGTACACTACAGTCTATATATATACTGTAGTGTGTACACTACAGTATATATATATATACTGTACTGTGTACACTACAGTCTATATACTGTACAGTGTACACTACAGTCTATATATACTGTACTGTGTACACTACAGTCTATGTATACTGTACTGTATACACTACAGTATATGTATACTGTACTGTGTACACTACAGTCTATATACTGTACTGTGTACACAGTACAGTGCATACACTGTACACCACAGTCTATATACTGTACTGTGTACACTAGAGTACACACACAGTGTACACAGTACAGTCTATGTATACTGTACTGTGTACACTAAAATATATACACAGTGTATACTACAATCTGTATACTGTACTGTGTACACTAGAGTATATATACACAGTGTACACTACAGTATATATACTGTACTGTGGACACTAGAGTATATACAGTGTACACTATAGTCTGTATACTGTACTGTGTACACTACAGTACACACAGTGTATATTACAGTCTATGTATACTGTACTGTGTACACTACAGTACACACAGTGTACACTACAGTCTATATATACTGTACTGTGTACACTAGAGTATATATACAGTACTGTGTACACTACAGTCCATTATAGCCTATATATACTGTGTACACTAGAGTATATAGTGTACACTGCATTACACTATAACTTACATGTAGACTGTGTACACTGGAGTCTACACTACAGTACACACGCCACATCACAGTTCACGTGTACTGCATAAGAGTACAAAGTGCATAGACTAGTGTGGTATAAACACACTGTACACAGCCATATATCGTGCATGCTACAATACGGTATACACTACAATATATGCAAAACTGTATGGTATCAATGTACTTCTGTACACTATTGTCTATACATTGCAGTAAATACAGGTAGTCCTCTATTTACGATGGAGATGCGTTACGACGACCCCATCGTAAGTCGAAAATGTCGTAAGTCGAAGATGGCCTAGCCTACCCAGGAGTCTTAAAGAATGGTGATAATTTAGCAAAACAGAGTAATTTACAGTACCGTACTGTATAAACTATATACCGTATGTATTTATTAATTAGAATACTGTATTGCACAGTAAAATTTAAAGTAAATAAAACAAGGTAAATTCTTAGTCTACCTATATGAACTGCAATTTAATAGAACGTTTTTTCAGGAAACAATCATATCTACTATAAAAAACTTGAACATGCATTGAACGTATGTATAGTATCGAACCTCGTACGCTTCTGTGTTTGTCTGCCGCGCGAAATTTAAACTATTTAACAATTTTGTTGTATCGCTATCGTAAGATCGAAATATCGTAAGTCGGAGCGTCGTAACTCGGGGACTATCTGTATTGTACACACTACCACTGTGTACACGTGCACAATAACTGCGTTGGCCTGCTGATGTAGCTCGCATGAGGAGTCCTGTTGGTGCATCTGCCAGTCAGGCAACCCACAACACCTGGGGGTTTATCCCGTGACCTTCCAGTGAGAATTTGACACTTCACGTGGCCTCAAAGTGCACCTAGCCTGGCACAAGCGACGTGGTGACGTTACCGCCACTTAGTGATGGACAGCGGTTGTTGTACACAATAGTATCGTATACACGACGGTATATCAGCACTACACACCATGTACTGTGCATAGGGGCCGTCCATAAATGACGTCACGCGATTTTTGACCCCCCCCCCTCGTCACACGGCGTCACAAAAAGTCACCCCCCTCAAATATGACGTCACAAAGCTCTGCCCCAACCTACAAACCATATTTCCATTTTGAAAATAAAACATGCTTCAAATCGCTTTAAGCTATTGTCATTGTAGTGCGTATTTAATGTGGCGCTGCACTTTGATGTTGTAGGAGAAAACATTTATTAAAAAGTATATTTAATTAAGTAGAACGTGTTGTCTATATTTATTTAAAGTTGCGCATTTTGATGTGACGTCACTTTTTTCAAACCCCCCCCCCCCTCGTCACATATCGTCACAAATGTCTGACCCCCCCAACCCCCCTAGGTGTGTGACGTCATTTATGGACGGCCCCATACTTGACTGTATTATACATAAACCGCCATTCGCCACAGAGTCAGCGCGGCGCTTGTGCCAGGCTAGGTGCACCTTGAGGGCTTCTTGCTGCTGCGAACAGGAACACGCGATAGATACACCATTCGCTGTGTTTTATCCGCCCGTCACTTCTGCTCATTGTTGTGAGCGACCACCCCTCTCTCTGCCTTCCACTATTGCTAGAGTTCAGAGCCGTGACATCCTGCCCCAGAGGTCGCAACCGGGTACCCGATACCCGTACCCTACCCGATACCCGTACCCTACCCGATACCCGGCTACCCGTACCCGGCCGGGTAGCCGTTTGCGACCCTGGTGCGGCCGGGTACGGATACGGGTAGGCCGTGAGTCACTGGTGAGTAACCGTTTGTCACTCATTTCGGGTAGGGTACGGGTAGGATACGACTACCTGTACCCGGCCGGGTGTAAACCACCTCAACAAGTACCGGTCCAGCTCGGGTTGAGCCGGACTAGGAATTGGCGTTGTGTTCGGGTGGTAGCAGGGAACGGATTGGTACCGAGGTATGGGACCGGTATTGTTATTGTTGAATTTTATTCCAGTAAACTGCAGTCATTGATAGACATAGGCTGACAAAAACAACGTATCTACACTATGGGAACCTCATTTGCCAGTAAAAATATGATGATTGTTTTTTTTTTAAGTTGATTGGTCCACACCCGAGACAGCTTTCCTTAGAGCCTAGTCTCACATGGGTTGGACCAGATGACGCCAAAAGGCGCACAACTCAAAGACAATGCACCATCAGAGTTATGTTCTTTTGTTTGTATTATGACTGCAGGTATTGCGGTCTATGCAAACATGACTCCTTGTAAAAAGGTGTCAGTTTTGTTGCCAGATAGAAGGGTAGAAAACCAATTATCAAAAACAACGTATTTGGGGTTTGGTGTGTGTGGGAAAAGGTGACGACTCTAAGCCCTGCCTCCTACTGAAATGTCAGCCTCTCTCTCCTTCGGACTCAGCCGCAGTGATTGTTGTTTCAGACTCCTGCCTAAGCAAAACAAGGGTTAAAAAACGTATTATTTCCTCAGGAAAGCCACACTTGAATTTGAATTATCTTCTTAAGGATGCTCTTTCATTGGGATGTTTGGCCAACGGCATTTGCATTGTATGTTTTAAGTGAAGGGTGTAAACCACTGAACCCGAACGAAACCCATGAATAATGGGGAAGAAAATATACGAACTGTACTGTACACAAAGGTGGCTGAGTCAGGAATCGAACCCAAATTATTTTTGCTGTCAGGCACAACTATTGCTACCACTCTTATCACCCTGCCACCACAACGGTATGGACACGTGTCTGCTCAGGGCTTCACGTATCCGTGGATTTTGTTTTATTCCGTGCACCTTTGGTATTTAATTGTAAGGTGGAGGGGTAACCACCAACCCACCAACTCCTCGGACGAGACCAGAGCGCTCGTTTGCCACTGGATGTCAGCACGCCATGAGTGTAATCAGCCGGCGAATGTCAGCTTCTCCCCAATGGCATTGGTTCACTACACACCACGCAGTGTTACCGTCTGACACCACGAGGAGATTGGGGGTTGTTTTTGCCTGACACTATGAGACAAAGATCCCCCGTGTAACCTTAGCAGAATGCTAGGGCAAGTGCTGTTAGCGAGCACATATGAAGGCCGGCACGGTACATGTCATACACACACACACTACATTCAATGTCATATGTATGGATGGAATTATATAGCGGTTAGCGCACTGCGCTATGAACTAAGAGACGACGTGAGTTCAATTCCTGGTCATGTGGGACGAGGAGATGTATCGCTGTACTCATGATAGGGGTGGCCAAACCCCCTGACCCCCTGACCCCCACGACCCACATGCCAAGGTCGACTTGCACAAGACACGCGCATGCCATGTGGGGTCTTCAATTTATACATCTGTGCGATGAGTATTCATTTATTCTAGATTTGAAGCTTTCGTGACTGCAAGGATTCATATTCTTAGGTTTTTTCGGTAAAATCACGTAGGTAAAAAAATTAATAAAAGTAAAATAAAAAATAAAAATCACGACGTTTCGGAGGCAACACAAGCTTCCGTCTTCAGGTGGAACCGTCACAGCGCGATAGCTGCATCAAGTGAGAGAAATACCAAGAAAACAGTCCTTGTGTCTGGCTCTGCTGCCAGTGAGCGAGCGAGTGACTGCCTTCCCCGAGTGGCTCCCGCTTCCGCAGATTTTACTTACATTAAATATTGACAAGAGTTGTATAAAGTTAAACATTATCCGTAACCCTATCAAGCTACGGTACACTGGAAATGCCCAGCAGCTACGTGCATCTCGACATCCTGTACACCCACACTCATCCACTCATCCAGTATGCTGACTCACAACTCACCTCATACCACTAGGACACGCGCATTTGGGTACGGGGCCGTCCATAAATGACGTCACGCGATTTTGAACGATTTTTGCCCCCCCCCCCCTTCGTCACACGGCGTCACAAAAAGTCAGACCCCCCCTCAAATATGACGTCACAAAGCTCTGCCCCCCCTCCCAAAAATATAATACATGCTTCAAAT